TTTGGAAGGGAACATATGTTGTAGCTGATTGTTCTCATAGTTACTTAAATAGTTCTCGTGAAAATAAAAATAAAAAATTCCTCTAACTCCATGGATTGAACAGAGAGTGAAAACTTTGCATCTTACAACTTAAATACCAGCTCCTAATCCTGTTAGCACGGTGATGTTTCCTACTTATAACGTGTCTTCATAGAGTTATTAATATCATTGCATCAGGCAACATCCTATCCAGGACTCTGTGAGCCAATTTCTCAAGGTGGACTGGGATTCGATTACTATGTCAATCTTTCTGTGTCAGAGATGTGGTTATCATTGCTTCAGACTGTGCCTGGCCATGAATGGAGTATGAGCAAGGTTTGAGTACTTTTCCTAAGAAATCATGGATTATTTGTATGAGTTCCCTTTTTCTTTTTCAATTGGCGGTCACTAGTCTTTCAATTGTTCTAGCATGAGCTAAACTTTCCTTCATATGCAGATTGTCAGCACATTGATGGGCAACAAACACTATGCTGATAAGATGCTGGTGTATGCTGAAAATCACAACCAAGTAAGCTCTTTATCTTTTCTTTTGGGTCAGAAGCTCTGATAAACTGTTACAACGTTAATCTGATGATAATGTGGCCTCATGTCTAGTGTTCTAATAATTGCTGACGTTTTCTTTGTTTTTTCACTTCAGTCCATCTCGGGAGGGCAGTCGTTTGCTGAGATTTTGTTTGGCGAGGCAAATAAGCAGTCTTCTGGTTCCGAGGCAGGCGTGCTTAGGGGTTTGGCAGTACTCAAAGTGAGCCTCGACTTGACTTCTCTTTCACTTCCGTAATTCCAATTAACTGTTGGTAATGTATGGGAACAGCTGAAGAATTTCTATAGCATCATGTTTCTCTCCGAACAGAAGTAATCTGCAATGGGTTGAACAAGTTATTTAATGCATTATGTTTGTTGACATACATTGTTTTATCTCTTGCTGCCGGTCCTTATTTCTTTTTGTCTTGGCAGATGATGAGACTGATAACTTTCACTTTAAGTGGCGGGCACGCTTACCTCAATTTCATGGGCAATGAATTTGGGCACCCCAAGGCAAGTCTCTGTCATCTTTCTGCAGATTTTTGCCACTTAGTTTTAAGTTCCGTGATACAAAGATTAATTGTTGATTAACAAAACTTGTCACATTTTAGAGGGTCGAGTTCCCAATGCAGAGCAACAATTTTTCTTATTCACTTGCGAACCGCCAGTGGGATCTGCTAACAAATGTTGGTTTGCATCAGCATCTGTTTTCCTTTGATAAGGTGGATGACAACTCTATAACTTAATATGGACCTCAGACATATATGTCACTTGCTTTATGAGTGAATTGTTGCAATTTAATACTAATCCACTGCTGGATACTAGGATCTAATGAGTCTGGGAGAAAATCAAAAGGCAATCTCAAGAGGTTTTCCAAATGTCCACCATTTGGATGACACCACCATGGTATGGTACTAGCCATGGCATTTACCGAATTCCTACTTGGACAGCTTGATGGAAGAAGGGTATCACATGGTGGCTAATCAAAGGCTTGTTTTGTGATTCACCAGGTGATAGCTTACATAAGAGGTCCTCTCCTCTTTGTGTTAAACTTCCATCCAACCAATTCCTACCCGACATACAACGTTGGTGTCGAAGAGGCCGGAGAGTATCAAGTAAGGGAAATGAGAAATCAGTTGTTTGAAAACTAAGATTGAAACTTTACCAATATTTAGAGTTGGTCACTTGGTTAAATGTCTGGTCTTCTGTGGTGATGGTGGCAGATCATACTGAACACTGATGATGAGAAGTATGGTGGGGAGGGACTAATAGATGCCGGGAAATATCTTCAGAGAACCGTTGTTGGAAGGTTCTTATTGCTCCCCTCCTCTGTAAACCCTATTTCTGGTTATTTTTCCACATAAATTCCTCTTCACTATGTCAGTGCATTGCAATGCAGAGTGGATGGCTGTCGATACTGCTTGCAGTTACAATTGCCTAGCAGAAGTGGCCAGGTTAGTATATTAGCATGTGTGCCCCTACCATTGAAGATAACATTTCAGTTCTGACAAACCACGATGAACATTGAGCGATACATATATTTGTTCGTATTATGTCTCTTGTTTCAGGTTTACAAGCTGACTCGCATTTTGAGAGTATAAAAAAAAAGTAAAAAAACAGCAGCAGGGTAATAATATGCTTCTATGATTCCATCATAATGGGGGCAGCATTATATTTGGTCTTTCCAGACTTAAAAGAATGGACTTTTGGTTGGGACAGGATGACGAGAAGCTGTCTGCCGTTATTCTGCAGTTTTGGCCCGACTGAACTAAGATGATGGTACAGGGTACTTGGATTTGACAGTGAAAACCTGAAGCAGAGTATTTTTGTCTTTGAAGTGGGCAGATCTCTTCAACTAGGATCTCAAATGTCTGCTGTTGGATGGTCATCTATACAGTTAAACGGTTGTGAAAAGGGATGCTATTTTCATGCTGTCATGACTGATCGGCTGCAGACCGTCGAGCAAATGCAATCTATGGGCTCTCGGGCAAATGCAATCTACTACCGGTCTGAACGTGAAACACAAACTCTCTGCATCAGTTTTTTATGAGTACATTAGAGGTCGTTTGGCAACCATGTATGTAGGATATATAAATATCAATGAACATGTGTTTTATACATGTAACTAGCTTCGACCCCTGCCCTTTGGGCAGGTGGCTTTTTCGTTTTTGTGTATGTGTATCATATCGTTATTAAGTAACAAATTTTCTAAAATAATGTAGGTAGTTTCTGTAAAAAAATGTCAAATAGAGTCATTAAACGTTTTAACTCCCTCTCTAGAATGCAAAATTCACCTTCGAAAGACGTCCAAGAAAGAGAGGGAAAATATGCATCTCAATTTTTCGTAAACAGTGGAAGGTGCATTCATCTTAATGATGGTTCAATGGAAGATTTGTCATATCGTCTTGCAGTTTAAACTCTGGTCAATCTACGAAATTGCATACAATACCTAATCCTACCGTCTAAAGTTAGGGTTATTTAACGGCCGCCAACTATCGAAAATCCAAATGATTTAGGTGATTAGAAATCTCGAGGAAAGTTAGATTGAGTCTCTAAACAAAAATGATGCTATAGAAATATTGTCGAATGATGAGAATGAGCGAGATGATGTTCATGAGAGAAAATCTCGAAGGAATTGAAAGGTTCTATAGTTTATGTGGATACGCTACTCATAATCAATGGAAAAAACTCAAGACTCATGATTATTTTTGTAGAAATATTACCTGTAGGTACTCGGGGGAAAATATATATTAGAATAATATAGAAAAAATATTATTATTATTTGAATGAGTAAATAATACTAATTATGGTTAACTAGTTATCATAAACAATAATAATAAATTATCCAGCAAGTTTTCTCTCGTCTCTTAAAAAGAAAAGGAAAGAAACATGTGAAGGAAGAATTCTTAAAAAGAAAGAAGCTTGTACAAATAGTAGGCCGTTGGTACTTGGTATTCAAACGGAGAAGAATAAAGAATTAAAAAAAAAATGAACAAAAGAGATAAAAAAAATTCGGCTTCAGAAATTTTACATAGGGGTGTCCTTTGCTAAAAATTAAATTAATAATTAAATAATTATTAAATAAACAAATATTTGATTTGTATGAAATACAACAAGCACATGACGTGTAGGTATTTTGAAAATGTTGTAAAATACAATCGTTGTCTAACAACTCTCGATATATACTACTAGACAAGGGGAGCCTGTGAATGAGTTTAACCGTTAGCTTTTGAAAATAATTGGAGATAAACAAATATCCAGACACTAGTGACCGATATCAGCGGAATAACAGCGGAAAAAAGCTCTGGGGTTTTATTGATTTCAATATCCAGACACTTCTGTTTATTTACTGATTGCAATTATGACCCCATCATATAACTTCCAAAGATGACATTCCATGCTTCATCTCAGTTGAATTTCAGAGCTGCTCTTACAGGGGCACAACAGCCAGTCCTCCAATAGACCAGCAGTGGACTTTTGTTGGTTCACAAGATTTGGAAATCGGCTCCTATCAAGGTGAACCAGAATTGAAGGTGTCTTCGGGGCTCAAAGAGTGACTGTGTCAGCCATGGAAGAAGACCCTGGTGGTTAGGCTGCCGGGCAAATCAGTGTCCTATAACTACTTATGCTCGCAACTCCGGTGGAAATGGCGGCCGGCTGGTGCCATGGAAATAATGGATTTGAACGACAACACGTTCCTGGTTACTCTAGGAGACGAACACGACTACCTGAAGGCATTGACAGGAGGGCCATGGGTCATTCTGGATCACTACTTGGTAGTTCATCCACGGTCAGCCTCTTTTCGTACATCAGATAAACCCCATCGATCAGTGGTCGCGTGGATCCAATTGCCTGAACTGCCAATACATTTCTATCACAGGGAAGTACTTTTTGCTTTGGGAAATCTAATCGGTCGGACGGTTAAACTAGATTATCACACAGAAAATCGAGAGTGAGGGAAGTTTGCCAGGTTGGCGATGGAGTTAGACATGTCCAAACCCCTACCTACTCGTATCCGACTGGATGATGCCTGGCAACAAGTGCTCTATGAAAATTTACCAACCATCTGCTATGAATGTGGGAGGATAGGCCACAATGAAAAGGAATGCCCAACCAAGAGAAGCCTCCCCAATCCATGGAATTGATCGTGGTGCAAGAAAATGGTCACAATCTGACACCGAAAACAGAGACGCCGGAACCGCCCTCCGGCTACGGGCCCTGGATGCAGGTGACTCGGAAGTCACGCCGCCCAAACAGGAAAGGGTCCGGGAATCATGCTCAGAATCATGGAAAACCAACGGTCAATCGTCAAGATTCGGACAAGAATGGAGCGCAATTGAAAGGATTGCCCGATTCATCGTTGGAGAATAAGGGAAAGTCAGAGATCAGATTGGGGAATAAGAAAGGAAATTCGTCTAAGCCAAAAAGGGAAGCCGGTGATGGAAAATAAAGGGAAGGCGGTGATGGAGGACAAAGGGATTAATGGGCCAAAACAAGCCCAAATGACACAAGAATGGAGGCCGGTTGGCCTCACGGGTGGCAAATCAGCAACAAGCCCATCAATTCCGGTGGCCAGCTCGTCCACCTCGCCGGTTGATCCTTGGCCAAAATCTCAGTCCAACTTAACGCAGATTCGATCTGTTCTTGGTCAAAACAATACTTCCATCCAGATAATTTCGGTGCCGGAGCTTGATCTGAAACAGAAAGAAAATCAAAACCCCAACCGCGAAGAGTCGTCAATCCGTCGTCATTATGCTAGGAAAACTAAGCCCCCCTCTTCGAATCAGCAAGGGATCCAGCTTAGAACGTCCAAGAAGGCTCTACAGATTCACAGTCCGTCTTAAAAGGGGTTGAATCAAAGGTCGAAGCATCTGGAATTCCCTAATTCTGCTGAAGCCGTAGCATTGTTCTTTACCCAATCGCAGTTCAAAGCGGATGAATTTATCAAGAAAAATATGGCGGGGGCAAGGATGTGATGATGGAAGAGACAACCCCATTGAATGTCCCGGAGGAGACGTCCCAGACCGCCAACCTTGCTTCACCTCCAGCGAATCCCCTATGATTTGGCTGATTCTCGTTTTCCCTCCTTTTTTCCCCCTTTATTTCTCCCCATTTTTTACTATGACTACTCAAACTAATTTCAAAATTTTGGCTTGGAATATTTGTGGTGCAGGAGGTAGGAAATTTATTCGGGCGATTAGACTTCTGGTGAATACCCATAATCCAGATTTTCTTTTTATTCTGGAACCACAAATCAGTGGCGATCGAGCAGATGCAGTCTGCAGCAAGATGGGTTATGATTCTGTTATTAGGGTGGATGCAAATGGGAGAGCAGGAGGGATATGGTTGGCCTGGAAATCGGGCGGCTTCTCAGTTGCTCTGGTGGATGCAAGTAAGCAACACCTGACGGTTAGAATTTCTATGGCTAATCAACAGGCTTGGCTGCTCACCGGAATTTATGCAAGTCCCCAGTACAAATTTCATTCTATCCTATGGGAGAAGCTGGTGGCCACGAGTAGAAGTTCAATCTTCCATGGCTAGTTACAGGTGATTTTAATGCTTATTGCCTTCCTCAAGAATCCTCCAGTCTTGGTTCTGCTAGCTCCCTACGACGTTGCCAACGCTTTGCAAATTGGATTAATGAGGCTCAGCTGACTGATTTGGGCTATTCCGGGTCAAAATTCACCTGGTTCAGGGGAGTATCTTCCCAGACTAGGAAAGCCAGCAGATTAGACAGGTCTCTTTGCAATGATGTTTGGAACAGAACTTTCCCAGATACAGTGGTACAACACCTAGCAAAGTTGCATTCTGATCATCTTCCAATTCTTACTACCAACTCAGGGTCAAGCAATTCGTGTAATCTGCCAAGACAGTTCAAGTTTGAAGCCGCCTGGCTGCTTCATAATCAGTTCAAGGATTTCTTCAGTGATAACTGGAGAAAAGAAGAGGGTTTACCTCAAGCTTTGAGAGACATTACTCAAAAGTTACAGGTCTGGAGCATAGAGGTGTTTGGGTCTCTGAATAAGAGAAAAAGGCGACTCTTGGCAAGGCTGCAAGGTATCACGGAAAGACTAGCGGTCACTTTTAATCCAGGTCTGCTCAAATTGCAAGTGAAATTGGAACAAGAGCTAGATACACTTCTAGCTCAAGAAGAGGCTATCTGGTTTCAAAGAGCTAAGGAAAAAGGGGTGAAGCTAGGGGAATAAAATTCATCTATTTCCATCAACAGGCAACTCGTCGTCGTAGGAACAAGATTCTAGCTTTAAAGAACAACCTTGGCGAGTGCAATGTAGTCAAAATCGCGTTTTAAAACTTAAAAACTTACGATTTTACGTTTCTAGATCACTAAGACGCTTTTACATAAAATCTCATTTTTTACAACTTATGTAGTTAAAAACTACGCTTTAAAACATAAAAACTTGCGATTTTATGTTTATAGATCACCAAAACGTTTCTACGTAGAAACTCGCTTTTGACTACATTGGGCGAGCAAATTAGTGATCCGGATACTTTGAGTAACATGGTTCTTCATTTCTATAGAGAGCTATATACCCAAGAAGATTATGTTTATATGGATCTTATGCCTAGAGGTCATTTCTCAAGGATCATTCAAGAGGATCTCATGGCTCTCCTTCGTCCTATACACATCACAGATATTCACAGGGCTATTTTTTATATGAAACCTCTCTCAGCGCCCGGACCAGATGGTTTCCAGGCCATATTCTATCAAAAGTTTTGGAATCTAGTGGGGAAAAACTTGACTGAAATGGCTGTGAAGTTCTTTGAGACTGGTGATATACCTGGAGAAGTGATGGAATCAACTATGATTCTAATTCCTAAGGTGGACAGCCCGGAAACTCCGGCTCAATTTCGACCTGCTAGTTTAAACAATGTGGCACTCAAGGCTATTACGAAAGCCATAGCTAATAGGTTCAGAAATCTGATGCCCAAGTTGATCTCCCCTACTCAGAGTGGCTTTGTCAAAGGCAGGCAGACTAATGATAATATCTTGATTCTCCAAGAAGCTCTGCATTCACTTAGAAAGAAGAAAGGGAAAAAGGGTGGTATGATTGTGAAAATAGACCTGGAAAAAGCATATGATCGTTTCCGATGGGATTTTATTAGAGATACTCTGGGGGAGGCCGGCTGTCTAGTTCCTGGATAGCCAGAATCATGCATTGTGTGGAAAACAATAAGATAAAGATTAACTGGAATGGAAAGTTGTCTACCACCTTTACTCCAACCAGAGGAGTTCGTTAGGGAGTTCAGAAAAAACTAGGTGGGATTACTCTTGTGAAGTCTAAACATCTCTCTGTTGCAGCTCGAATTACTCTTGTGAAGTCAGTAGCAGCTTCCATGGCGGTCTACCCAATGTTCACAAAATCTTTTCCTGCTACAATATGTAAGTCCCTGGATAAGATCAACAGACGTTTCATTTGGGGAGAGGATGAAGGAAATTCCAAGTTTCATCCTGTGGCGTGGGAGCAGATGACCTTACCTCGCAAGCTAGGTGGGATTGGTATTCGGCCGACGAAGCTGGCGAATTAGGCAATGTTGGCTAAGGGAGCTTGGAAGATAATCACTGATGACGATTCTCTTTGGGCTCGAATACTTAGAAGCAAGTATGGCAGCAACAAGGAAGGCCTCAATCTACTTGACAACAAAAGGGAAGTTCATACTCATGGCGTAGTTTTTCGAAAACTGCCAATCTCTTGCGCAAGTGTATGGCTCACAATGTAAAGAATGAAAAGAAAACTAATTTTTGGTCTGACCCTTGGATTTTGCAGGAACCTCTAAAAGACCATGATGTGGAGGAGATACCTTTGGTGCTAAGGAACAATAAGGTAGCTGATTTTTGGGACCCAGAACGTGGATGGAAAGAGGAGGAGTTCAACAATCTTTTGTCATCTGCGGTCATTGACAAAATTAGAAGTTTCTGGGTTGATTTTCTTTCCCCGGAAGAAGATATTATGTTCTAGAAAGCCACCGGTAATGGCAGATTTACCACCAGCTCAACAAGGTACAACCACTCCTTTTTGGAACATGATTTGGTCACTTCAATGTCCAGAGAGGGTGAGATGGTTTGTATGGTAGGCGGTTAAGGGTAGGCTGTCCACAAATGCAGTAAGGAAGTTTCGTCACTTGACTTTAGATGATAAATGCCCCTGTGCAAAACCGAAATAGAGACAATTCTTCATTGCTTGAGAGATTGTACAGTGGCAAGACAAATTTGGGAAAAGCAGATTCCTGCCTCACAACAACAAGTGTTCATTGAATTAGATCATGCTAGCTGGTTCATGACCAATCTTAATGAGGTTATGGAAGGGGAATGGCCTGGTGAGTGGGCGAGCTTCTTCTCTCTTCTCATCTGGTACATCTGGAAAACTAGGAATGATTATCTTTTTCAGCACAAGGTCCTCATGAGAACCACCTGGATCAACTATGTGATTGCTAAGGCTACAGATTGGAGTCGAACCTGGATGTCTGCTTCGCTGAACCTCAATGAACAAACAAGCCGAACGCGATCAGAACAATTGATCAGCTGGAATCCCCTGCCGCGAGGGTGGTTCAAGATCAATACAGATGGGGCAGCACAGGGGAGTCCGGGGATGACCACGGCAGGGGGCTGCCTTAGAGATAATGACGGAGTTTGGATGGGTGGCTTCTGCAGCAAGATTGGAACAGGGACTGCTCTCCTAGCATAACTGTGGGGCATATTTCATGGTCTTAATTTTGCTTGGAATCAGAGGGTTCAGCTGCTTATTCTTGAGACAAATTCACAACTAGCTGTGGAATTGATTAACAAAAGAAACGATCCATTCATCCACACTCTACTTTATTGTCTGCTATTCGCAGGATGATGTCGAGAAATTGGATGGTTCGGCTAGTTCATACATATCGCGAAGGGAATAGAGTCGCGGACTGGCTCTCGAAGCACAGTCTCGTCTATCCATTTGGTATGTACGAATTAATCGAGCCTCCAATGGGTTTAGATCGGATCCTTTGGGAAGATATGATAGGTATTAGCTTCCCGAGGATGGTAGCCTCTGGATAGCTAGTTTCTTTTTTTTTTCTGATGCATTTTTCCAGTTCTGCCCAGGGCCTGCGTGTGTGCAGAGCTACCTGTGGCTGAATTTGTTTTGTTGTATCTGAGTTCTCCTGGCTTGTAGCCTCCCTCTAATAAATGAATTAAAAAAATCAACGAGTTCTGTCTTTGCTTCACCCTCCATTCTGGAAGAGGAGAGTAACTGTAGGGGAGGAGGGTGACTACTCAAAGATGAAATATTTAACGAGTAGAAGTGATGAGATGAAAAATCCGTCTTTTCAAAGAAAATTTAAAAAATATGGTAACAGTCTAATCCCAAATTTGGGGTGATTTACTAGCGTAGTAATTTTTTTGCCTAATCTTCACCTCTCCTATTACTGTTACTGGTTTCTGGAACATAATGAAATCAAAATTCTCCTTGATTTTCACTCTTGTTGAAAGAATAAAAACACAAATTCATAGATCATGGCTTACCACATTCCCGCAAGAGGAATGCATTGAGAGCAATGCTCGCTCCAGCACATATAAATCAACAGCTTTGCTCTGGAAGGGTTGATGTAAAAATTAGATCAGGGTTGTTTGGTTTTGGTGATAGTTAAATCGATGTATTATCATCAATGCATGCATAATAATATACATGTATATAAGAAAATTGGTGTATTGTAGTTTATATCGTTTGGTTTCTGTTATAATTATTTTAGTATTTAAATAAATTATATCACTTTTTGGGTGAAATGTCACTTTTATCCTTTGTTTTTAATATTAGAAAGAAACACACATAAAAAGGTAAGGACATAG